AATTAGTGTGGTACCCACCAATTAGTGGGGTGGTGGTAATTAGTGGGGTGGTGGCAATTAGTGGGGTACCCACCAATTAGTGGGGTGGTGGCAATTAGTGTGGTACCCACCAATTAGTGGGGTCGTGGCAATTAGTGGGGTACCCACTAATTAGTGGGGTCGTGGCAATTAGTGGGGTCGTGGCAATTAGTGGGGTACCCACCAATTAGTGGGGTGGTGGCAATTAGTGGAGTCCAAGTCACTGGTGGGGTCCAAGGAGCTCCTGGGGTGGCAGCAATTAATGAGGTCCAGGTAATTAATGGGCTTCAAGTAGTTAATGGGGTCCAAGGAGCACCTGGGGTTCAAGTAATTAATGGGGTCCAAGTAATTAATGGGGTTCAAGTAGTTAATGGGGTTGAAGGAGCTCCTGGGGTGACAGCAATTAATGGGGTCTAAGTAATTAATGGGGTTCAGGTAATTAATGGGGTCCTAGGAGCTCCTGGGGTGGCAGCAATTAATGGGGTTCAAGTAATTAATGGGGTCCAAACCACTAATGGGGTCAAAGCAACTCATGGGATTAATGGGGTCCAAGCCATTAATGGGATCGAGGCTATTAATGAGGTCACAACAATTAATGGGGTCCAAGCCATTAATGGGCTCCAGGCTATTAATGAGATCACAGCAATTAATGGGGTTCAAGCAGCTAATGGGACAACATTTAATGGGGTCAAAGCCATTAATAGGCTCCAGGCTATTAATGAGATCACAACAATTAATGGGGTTCAAGCAGCTAATGGGATTACAACAATTAATGGGCTCCAGGCTATTAATGAGGTCACAACAATTAATGAGGTCCAGGCTATTAATGAGGTCACAACAATTAATGAGGTCCCAGCCATTAATGGGGTCCAGGCTATTAATGAGATCACAACAATTAATGGGGGTCAAGCAGCTAATGGGATTACACACAACAATTAATGGGGTCTAAGCCATTAATGGGGTCCCAACAATTAATGAGGTCACAGCAATTAATGGGGTCCAGGCTATTAATGAGGTCACAACAATTAATGGGGTCCAGGCTATTAATGAGGTCACAGCAATTAATGAGGTCACAACAATTAATGGGGTCTAAGCCATTAATGGGGTCCAGGCTGTTAATGAGGTCACAGCCATTAATGGGGTCCAGGCTATTAATGAGGTCACA